AATGACGATTCGTCAATCCGTGAGAAGATGGCCGACTATTTCAACTGCGATAATGCGCAGGAGAGTATTGATTTCTGGGGCTACAACATCTACTCCTGGTGTGGAGACTCTAACTACGAGGAGTCCGGTTACTCGACTCGTACTGATGAGTTCCGCAACTACTCGGTCCCTGTTTTCTTCGCTGAGTATGGTTGCAATGCGGTTGAGCCTCGCAAGTTCACTGAAGTCTCCGCGCTTTATGGACCGAAGATGGCTGATGTCTGGTCCGGTGGTATTGTTTATATGTACTTCCAGGAGGCCAACAATTACGGTATGTATTTGGTGGTTCTATCTGTCCTGCGTTCTGCGACTAACGATCCGCAGGGTTGGTCAGCATTGATGGCGACAAGGTAAGCACTAGAGCCGACTATAGCTATCTTTCCCAGCAGCTGGCTAGTGCTACTCCCTCTGGGACCAAGAAGAGCGAATACACCCCGGCAAACAGTGCTCTTCAGTCATGCCCACCAGTCAACGGCGATTGGCTTGCAACTGCGAGTCCCCTTCCACCCTCGCCAAACGGCGACCTTTGCTCGTGCATGGAGGACAGCTTAAGTTGCGCATTGAAGGACACTGTATCGGACGACCAGATCGAGAAGCTCTTTGGGACCGTCTGCGGCTATGATGTCTGCGAGGGAGTGACTGCCAACGCAACCACCGGCAAGTACGGCGCGTACAGTGTCTGCAGTCCCAAGCAGCAGCTGTCTTATGCCATGAATCTCTACTACGAGCAACAGTCCTCCAAAGGCAAGGCCCAGTCGGCCTGTGATTTCAACGGCGCTGCATCCACTCGGACTTCCAGCAGTCCCAGTGGCACTTGCTCTGCGCTTTTGAAGGAGGCTGGTAATTCCGGTACAGGCACTGTTACTAGCTCCCCAACTGGGGTTGCGGGAGCGGCCGCCGTTGGCTCCTCCGGCAGCGCTTCGGCGTCGACCTCTAAGGGTGCTGCATACATGAATGCTCCCGGAAGAGTCACGGTTGGTATCTGGCAGTTGGGTTTGTACGTGGTTACTGCCATTGCTGCCGGTGCTGGTATGATTCTACTGTAGATTTTCGGCTCGGTGTACATTAGAGGGATATGGTCTCTAGTTGTGGTTGCCGCTGAATGTAAACTCGGCCAGGAGTGAGAGGTTCAGGTCTTGTCCAAAGGCATGTATCCTTAGTAGGTGAGCGGCGTTTATAGACTCCGTATGCATTTTGTGTAATCCGGGGGGTCGTGAGTCCTCCCAGGAGTTGACTGTTTGGTAAATTATAGAATTTCGTGCTATTGGAGATCGTGATATAAATATATCACCAACGGCACCATGATTAGACAAATTCATAAGTATCGTCCCGGCTGGATTGAATATCATTATCTTAGATGCTGCTAAGTGGCTCGTAGGTAGATCCGATAAATAGGCAATTCGCAGCTGCTGCCACGAACACATAAGAAAAGAAACTAACTTGACATCCTTTGATCACAAGGGGTTTTTGGAGCACGTATGACTTTTTGGCTCATTAAATTATTTAGCTGAGGCTCTTCAACAATCAGGCCCGGGTGGTCTACGGAGTAGTGGTTCGAAACGCGCTGCTCGAAACACACGAGCCGACTCGGGGATGGACAGAAAACACTTAGTCAGCATTTGCCTGAGCTATAGAATCTGCCTGAGGCCGCAACTTCAGATGCTTTGTCACATGATTATCACATGACATTGGTAATTCACTACGTGTGATCTGCTAGCCTGTAACTGCTTCTCAGGGATTAACCCAAGCCTGCGAGAGGTCCCGCGTTCTCCGCGTCGGGCCCTGACCCTTCTTTTTCTTTTTCTTTTTGTGGTTGTAGTTCCCTATTACCATGGTACCAACATCTGTTTATTTTGCTGTACACAAACACCAGCAAGATTGGTGGACGGATATATAGCCCCCCAGTAGAAAGCAAGTAAACGCACACATGCTGCAGACTGTAAGATAATGAATGACAATTAACTATCACGTCCGTCCTGCATGACAACAGCCCGGGTCACCTGGATGCGGTTGCCATGTCAACCACCCAACTTCCAACTTTATACTCGGACTATCAACATGAGACACCTTCTGCCCAGCAAACAAATGTATATACATTATTCTCGTCCACAACCAAGAAAGCAAAGTGATAGAAGACCTATATAGTCTTCGCCGCCGTACTTCGCTCTCGCAGTCGCAATCGGAGACGCGGGCAAGCTGCACAACACCCGGAGGGAAGCCGCGGGACGTGCAACGAATCATGGCAAGACTTAACGCAACGCCAGCGAAGCAGACAACTGCTCGGAAATTGACGAAATTATCCGAGAAGAAGGAACCACACAGTTCCGTTCGACGCATATTCAAAGAGTGGTCACCAACGGCAGAGGCTGAAGAAGACAGGGAGGAACAATGGAGAAGAGCAACCGATGCATGGGCCAAAGAGAGATCTTATGGATTTGGAGGAAGGCCACCGCTGGGAAGAAGCGGATCGCAACGGGAAAAGAAGACGACTCTAGCAGCAAACTTCAACATACTTCCAGATAGTGACGGGTCGAGCGACGTGGACCAGGACTATAGATCCTCTACGAGCTCTGCCCGCGAGGAGACAAGCAAGACAACAGTCCCGCTGAAGCAAGCACACGTCAACTCACTCCTGCTCCCACTGTCGCAACAACCACGAAACCGACCAACCCAAAAACTGGAAACATACGACTATGCGAAGGAGAACGACCCCGTCGACGGGGACGAGGAGGAAAATGCACCGACAATATCCAGGCATTCATCCAATGCCTCTTCGCGGTATTCGCCAACGAGGAGGAATGCCCGCCAGGACATGGAAGAGAAGGAGGGAAACCTCCGATTTTTGAGTTATCGCCAGTCACAAGAGACTAATTCAGAAGACGAAGAGGGAGACAACAGCTTTAGTTCTCTGGATGATTTCATAGTCAGTGACAATGAAGAGCTGAGCTACCATGAGACATCTGCAGACGAACTAGAGGAGGAAGAGATCCCGAAAAAGATTTCTCCCCCCGGACCAAGGCGAAGGTTGTTAAGAGGTAGACGACCAAACCCAGAAGCAAGGCTCATGGAGGCTTTGATGAACCCTTCAAACAAAGATGACATCTGCTTAGAACCGTCTCTGCCACCTACAATGACGATACCATTCCCCCAGCTGAAACCAAAACCTGAGAAATCACACGTGAAAAATCCCAAAATCACCAAAGACATGGAAATCCCGAACCTGGAGGACTCTGATTCTGACTTCCAGCTTCAAAGGGACAGGTGAGTGGATTCCAGGCAATCCTTAGGCCATTATATCACTTATCTGTTGCACGCTGCTGACATCCCACAAGCACTGCAGCGGATACTGATTCACCCACAAAGAAATCAGAAGCGTCTTTGGCTGTTCTAGAAACACCACCTCCCAGTCCCTCTAAAAGCTCTCTACAGTCACCAACGAAGGACAGGATCTGCATACCGCCAACCCCATATCGCGAGAGCGTCGATGTTTTCTGGAGCCAAGAGGCCACCAATGACTGGATCGACCAACATTCTCCGCACAAGGGAGAAAAGAAATTAGAGCAGTATCTACGAGAATTTGAGGAGTCGGATGGTGATACCAACTCTGAAAACATGCGAAGACCCCGTGAAAGACATAGAGAGCCCAAAACTCCAAGCAAGACGGCGTTGAAGAGAGCAGAGACAGAGAAGAAAAAAGCTGCTCTGGCACGCAAGAAGCTGTTTGACAACAAGAAAGAGCAAATCGCAGATGAATTTCTCAAGGTCCTAGACGACGCCGTTTCTGGAGGCCAAATCCAAAAGCTCGCGGAAGAAACGGGCGGTGTCCGGATCATCTGGAGCAAAAACCTGCTGACTACCGCCGGACGTGCTAACTGGAAACGCGAGAAGATTGGAAAAGAGTCTCGAACACCAGAAAACGGATCTGAACCGTCAACGCTGATCAAGCAGCATGCTACGATTGAGCTAGCAGAGCGCATCATCGACAGCGAGGATCGACTGATCAACACAGTGGCACATGAGTACTGTCACCTGGCAAATTACATGATTTCAAACGTCCACAACAATCCCCATGGAGCAAGCTTTAAGCAATGGGGTCGCAAATGCAAAGAAGCCTTGAAAGATCACCCTGTGTACGGCGGAAGAGTCGAAGTGACGACGAAGCACAGCTACCAGATCGATTACAAATATGTCTGGAGCTGCGTTGACTGTGGTCAGAACTATGGCCGGCATTCCAAGAGCATTGACACAGCCAAATCTCGTTGTGGTGCGTGCAAAGGCCTTTTGCAGCAAATCAAGCCGAAGCCGAGAAACGTCTCACCCAGGAAGAAGCAACCAACTCCTCCGTCAGAGCGGTGCGAAAAGAAATCAGTGGAGGATATGGCGAAAGTGTTTGGCGAAGTCAGTTTGTATAGTTAGAGAACAGAAGTGAAGCTTTGACTGGCCTGCTGTCTATCCCTCTGGGAATGTTTGAGGATTTAGTCATTTCTCCGACATATGAGCGCTCCTTATGATGACATGACAGTTTTCTTTCAAAACTATCTTGATGCCCTCTTTCTTCTTACCCCCCGAAATCCACCTAATAATTCTTGAAAACCGGTAAAAGCAAGCGACCTTATTTCGATGGTGATAATGTAGAGGCAGCATCTGACACTGTACATGCAAAACATCATTCCATATATATTTCAAACCTTGTTTATATGTTTTCATTCCCACTGCAGATACCGATCATACAGATCCAACCGCATTTTGCCAGAAGTACCCTGTTTTGTTTATAATCGATTATCTCCGCCATTGCCCTTTTTATAGTAGACCATTGACCGGATGCGACGCGGACGCCGACTGTTAGTTGCGCGATGCGGCCTCTGCAGATGTTCACACGTACTTGCATCAACTCCCTGCGATTCTCTAAACAGGCATGCATATTTGTCTCGAATCAATTTCATGTCAGAAAGACATCATCGATGTCCACATTCACCCCCCTGAGCTCAGATGGGAGGCGCTGGGATAAAGCTGGTTCCAGCGAATCTCGTACGTCGAGCACAAGATCTGGCAAGACTCAGTATCGGCTTATTGAAGACGTCGAAGACCTGGATAGATACCGCCCCGAAGGGTACCATCCTCTACAAATCGGGGATGAGTTGGATTGTGGCCGCTATCGGCTGGTTCACAAGCTTGGGTATGGAGGATACGCGACCATATGGCTAGCTCGTGATCTACAAAGGGTCAGATATGTAGCCGTGAAGGTCATTACCGCTGATAGCAGTGGTTGCTCTCCTGAGGCTAGCTTTCTACGTTCTCTTGGAAACACGCGATCCGGACCAGGGAGAGAGATTATCCCACCGCTGATCGACGTATTCTGGATCGCTGGTCCCAATGGGAAGCACAGATGTATCGTGACTTCGCCCGCGCAGATGAGCTTGTTTGACGCCAAAGAGGCTTCTACCTTCGGGCTCTTTCGGCCCAAGGTCGCGCAGTCGATTGTTGCTCAGCTCATTCGTGGAGTCGCATTTCTTCACCATGAGAACATTGTGCATGGCGGTATGTGATACGTATAGATGTGTCTGGCTGAATTTCCTGGCTGATACCACTTCCAAGACCTTCATCTTGGCAACATTCTGATCCAGTTTCCTGGAGTGATTGATCGCCTCTCCACATCGGAGCTGTATGAGAGATTCGGTGAGCCAGAGTCAGAAGCCGTCGTTCGTCTCGATGGCAAGCCGTTGCTGGACGGCGTACCCGCCCACGTATTCATTCCCGGTTGGTTCGGCGTCCCCAGCGACGAGATTGTTCTTGGTGACGAGAAGATCATCCTTAGCGACTTTGGGGAATCTTTCAACCCAGACAAAGAGCTCAGATTCTCCTCGAAGACACTTCCGCTCCTCCAGCCACCGGAAGCTAGATTCTCGGACGAGCCGCTCTCCTTTGCTGCAGACATCTGGACACTTGCCTGTACCATCTGGGAAATTTTTGGCCAGCGACCTTTGTTTGAAGCTTTCTTCCCAACTGCCGACCGCGTTACCATGGAGCAAGTCGAAATCCTAGGCATCTTGCCTCCGGAATGGTGGCGAAAATGGAGCAGAAGACTGGAATGGTTCAACGAAGATGGTGAAATGGATCTGAAGCCAGAGACGTCTGGGGGCCACGATGGCGTGCGCAGGACCTTGGACAAGAGGTTCGACTACTGCATACAGGAGCCTCGGGATGAGGCGGGCCTGGAGATCGTGACGGAGGAAGAAAGGAGAGCGTTTGAGGGGATGCTTCGGTCGATGTTGGCCTTTCGGCCAGAGGAAAGGGCAACAGCACAACAGGTATTGCACTCAGAATGGATGAAGGGCTGGGGAATACCTGCTCTGGAACAGAGTTGGAGTACCTTTGATTCGTAGGAAAGCTAAACAAAAGGTACAAGGCTGAGTCCTGAACCAGCATTAAGAAAGAGGAAAGATCTGCCCGTAAATTAAATTATATTGATATTCTATAACCATTCTTGCTGTAGACTAATTGTTTTTAGTAATAGGGTACCTGAAGCAATCAAAGAGTGTAGGTAATGACACCAGTTTCCAGACTGTAAGCGTTTCCCAGCTCTTCTGCACAATAGGCCAGTCCCTACTCATCCCATTCAAGTCCCTAAGCAAACAATCCCCAGTCCTTAACCTCCAAAGTCTGCACCAGCCGATCAATAGCCTCAGTAGCTACCTCCTCCTCCTTCGACAAACCCCGCGGATCCCCGGACAAATCGAACTCATCATGCGGCACATTAAAGAAAACAAGCAGATCCGATTCCTGCGCCTCCAGCCGCACAAGCAGATAATGCACCGTCACACGCGACGTCTGCGGCCCATCTGCACTAGATCCCGCCGCCGCACCCCCAACCGAAACAGGAATCCTCCCCGTATTGGTATCCCTCCGCTGCCGCTTGGGCGTCGTCATCTGCACTACACCCTTGTACGCATGCGCGCGCGCAGAGGCAGGGATCTTGGCTGGGGTTACCGCTGTCGCGGGGATAATCACCTGCATCGTGTCGTCTTCATCGTACAAGTCGCGGAGGTGGTACATGACGGCTGCTTTGTCGATTGTCTCGTGGGTGGCGGGGATGCCGCCGCGGACGGCGGCCTGCGCGTCCAGCGTTGATAGGGCCTGCTCTTGCGTGACACGCTGGTTGACTTCGACGATGAGGCTGGAGAGGGTGGTCGGGGAGAGGAAGAGTTCTTGGTGATCTGGGATCTCGCGGAGGGAGCTGGGTGCATGAAATGTTAGCTTGGGTTTTTATTGAAAAGCAGGAATGTGTGATATACTGACCTTCCGTCTACCCAGCCTTCGGGGATGATGCCCTGTATCGCGCCGCCGTAGAAGGGCTGCTCAGTAAGGGTAGCCATATCGTCTTGTTGCACGCAATGATTTCTTTAACGCGGGGAAGCTGTCGGAGATAATCGAAGCTCGGGGGCCAAGAAATATTCAAATGGCGAGGGGAAAGTGATCTGGGTGAGCTGAGTTAGCCAGGATAAGCGTATGGGAAGCTATCTCAGAGCTATTTATCATCCCATTTCTCAGTGTTTCTGTTGTTTCGATGCTGTTGACTGCGGTCGACGGTCTTCCGCTGCAGAAATGACGTCCGCCTTTGGTCGAGACTGGAGGGGTTCCCTTCCGTCTGATTGGTCGGATTTGACTTCTACGAGTGCTTGGTTGGGGATCAATGTTTACATATGCTTAGTCTAAAGCACAGCTGGAGCCTACAGTGGTAGATAGATGCCTATTTTACTATTGTGCGCAAGACCAACTGTAGAAAGACGGTTGTCGGTGCTCCGGTTGCTGCCTCAGCTCGCGGATTGCTTGGCGCTGAGGGCAGGTCTCTACAAGATAGAAGCAAAGTGCACGGGATAACCCATACATATATCATTATTCTTCACATGTCTAACAGCTCCTCACTGAACTCATCCAATGCGATGAATCTAAATTGCCTCCCCCATTTCGCGCGAAATTCCTTCCGACGATAGGCGAAGCTCGTCACTTGCGAGAAACTCACAAGCTCGACGTTCCATCCTCGCTGCAGTGCTCGCTCCACCATCTTCATGAAGCCTCCTGAAAACTCAGCTTCCGCTGCGTCTCCTGTGGCTAGAACAATAGTCGCCGGTTCATCGGTATCCACCAGACTCTCTAGGATCTTCAGGTGCAGAATTTCGTCCACTCCCTGTTCAACCCATCGCTCCTCCGGCGCATCGTTCGTTTCAGAACCGCTGCCTCCTTCCTGAGCGCTGACTCGGGGATTCTTCCGATACTTCAACTGACGACGAGTCACATGTTTTACCTTGTGAACCCGATCCAATATATTGGCCTCGTAGCCCAGCTTTTGACTTTCGTCAATGGCTGCAAATCGATCAGAGCCAACCAAGACTCTCTTGGCAGCGGGGCGACCACGTTCGAGAATCAAAGAGAAGTTCTGAAACGAAAGGGGTAGACGCCGAATGCGAGTCTTCACAGGTATATTGCGAGCTAGCTTCGCAGAGTCATGAAAGCCAACCATAATCTGCCATATGCGAAGTTAGTCACGATCATGAAATTACAGTGTACCGAATACTCACGTTGGACATATCGACAAAGACATGGATGGGACGAGAAGCCTGATCGTTCGGTTTAGTGCTCGGAGACCGGCCAACTTGAGCCACGGCTTCCGCGTACTCGGGAAATCTCTTCAGGAGTTTGGTAAGAAGACCAACTCTTCGGTCTGCTGCCGATTTATACGCAATGGGCCGCACGCGAATAGGACCAGGCAAGCTCTTGAGAGTTTCAGCTGTCAGGGACCCTTCCAACTCGTCAAAAGAGGATGGCGGAGTCTCGCATGGCTCAGCATTGGACGCCGGTGTGCAGACTTGAGAGGGAATGAAGGACACGGCACCCCGTTTTTTCAACAAGGGTGGGTCAAAGACACTGAAGTTGCCGTCGGACTCTGCCTCCGCACTACTCTCCGACGAGCTGACATCAGAAACTTTCGATTGAGGGTTCTGACAAGCTGTGCTGTTTTCTGCTACAGCTTTCTTTTTGGGGAGTTGAGCTTCAGAGGCATTTGAACTAAGGATCGGTCTAGGGGCAGCCCGAGATGTCTGTTCGATAGTATGTTCGGCAAATTTTACTGTGGCTATAGGTCTCTTGAGGATCTGAATCGGCTTGCATTTCTGAGGCTGTTCAGCACAAGTAGGCTGAGACTGTTCTGTCTTCACGCCTGGTGAACTACCGTGGCCAAGGAGATCCCAGAGAGGGCCAAAATCACCTAGCCTCGGATAACTACCGCTCGAATCGTTGGCAGTTTTCTTGGTGTCGTCTTTCTCGAAGGTAGCAGACAAATTGGTGTGGCCAGCCACATGGGCTTGCTCACGCCCGTTGTACACAGGCGAACGTAGCAGATTCAACACCGGAGTGAAGTCCCAGTTCGAAGCTGTCTCAGCAGGCGATGGCATTGACAACTAACACGATGTTTTGAGTTGATATGTATGCTTAAGAGTTGTGGAAGTGTCAAGGCTCTTCTCAGATAATGCGGGGTCACGAAAGAATCACAAAGAACGGTAAACTAAACTGGAGCGACAATAGAAATGACTAGAGACGACAAGATGATAAACAAAAACAGGATGTAAAGGTGGAACAGGTCACCATGGTCGTCGATACAATCGCACAACACAACGTTGCTGCCAGAAGCATGAAGGAAACGTAGATGATAGAGAAGGGCAGATCGGGCATACACCCATGATGACCTTTGCAGATGACTCGATGGGTGGCGATTATTCTGTCAGTTCCCACCGCCTTCTCTATCGCCTGAATCAAAAGCTCTTTTCCATAAACGGTATAGCCTTTCCGGAGCCCGGAATGACAGATAACCCGATGCAAACATTGCTGCAAAACTGCCAAGAATAATGCTAACCACATATGGCTAGCTGTTAATCATCCGGACGTCATAGATCTGGTTCAACCATATTACCTGCTCTGATGGTTGTGGCTTAAACTTCAACGTCAGAGCTTCAAGCCTCATGAGAGTCAGGTACAAGTTTCGTAATTGTGACGTTGGGTGGATCATAGGTATGTCATGTCCGAGGCACAGGGCTCGGTGATGGCCAGTTGCGGGGTATGGCTCCTTGCAAGCACTTGTGAATCATGACAGAGTATGGTACCTGGGCTAGTCGCAATTCTGGTTACGGATATCGCAAGATACAGGTTGCTCAAACGACGTCATTGAAGCTATCAAGTTTCAGGAGTCCAGAAATGGCAGGCAGAGAAAGATATAAAGGTCTCGTTCGACCAGTGTAGAGCTCCTTCATCATCAACAACAATCACAACATTCCAAATAATCCACAAGCAGGCAAACACTTTTCGAATTTCAAACAATCTTACTTTCTCCTTATCAAACCATCTTCAAAATGTCTGACGCCGGTCGCAAGGATTTCTCTACCAGTATGTGATATGCACTCCATACTCTTGCAACTATTGGTACCGTACACTAACAGACGTGCAGAGGCCAAGGAGGAGATCACTCCTGACTCCACCAAGTCCACCCAGCAGAAGGTCAAGGAGGGTGTTACTGACACCGGCGACCGTGTCGCTCGTGGTCTGCAGACCGACGGGAGCAAGTCCGGCACTCAGGAGGCTTTCGACAAGACTCAGCGTTCCCATGACAACCACGCCCACGGTGGTGCTACCGGATCCATGTGAGTATTCTTCGCGAACAGACCTGATATCGCAGCTAGTTCTGACTTGTCTTCGTGTAGTGGTGACAAGGTCAAGCACGCCGTCGGCCTTGGAAACCACTAGATATGCTGTTGGAAGCGAACGGATAGCTTGCAGCAGCTTGATATCATGATTCCATTATGAGTTCACGATACCACTTCGGAAACCATGTCTTCATACCCTTTGTCATTATTAGTTACGAATGATATGTCTCCATGATGGAAAGTCGCTCACATGCCGCGCCTCTATCCGTAGTTCATATCTTCTCCAGTAAACTCTCAAACATCGAGTCTCGTCGCTCAATGAGCTGGTTCAATTCTCGCTCGAGCTGCCTGTATTGTGCCCGAGCGCCCTGAATGTCCTTCGGCAGATCATGAAACATTTTTAATCGGTGGTCCAAACTCTGGATAATGTCTTTGAGTTGGCTTATTTGCTTCTCTCCTGTGACCAAGTCTTCAATCGTAGGACCTTTGCTGCTGTTTCTTCCCAGAGTTGCTAACCTATCTTGGTATTCACTAAGTTTTGCAGTGAGCATTTTGGTACTCCTCAACCACTCAGCGGTCTGAGCTGGGAGGTCTGCAGGTACTTCGAATGCAGGATCGGACTTGAGTTGATCAAGTCGTCCCTGTAGAGCGGCCAGTTCTCTTTCCAGATGTTTTTGTAGCATGTCAATCTTAGAGATTTCCTCCTGAGCATCAAATTCCTCTACCGTGAGCTCAATGATCGACTGACCAAGGTCTTTGGTACCTGTGCGTAGAGCCCCCAGGACAGCAGTCGTCTCCGCCAAGTCGTCGAGGTCTCGTTTTCCAATCTCACCGAGACAAAGCTCCAGCTCATCCAGCAGTTCTTTCTTCTGTTTATCCCCAGCTTCCTCACGTGCTTTGAATTCCCGAATCGCTTCCTCACGCGCACGGTGGAGCAAGGCGGCCTCTTCGTCCGCTGCGTCGTTAGCAGCAGCAAGAGCTAAAAGTGTACGCAAAGTGTCTTCATTCCGTTCAAAATTCGGTACCGGATTCGGTGAGTATTGGCGACTTAGCCAGGAATTCACATATGCCCAGTCTTTGGCCTGAATGGCTGCTTGACGCGCCTTTGCGGGGGAAAGGAGCGGGCTGTCCATCGCGAGTGCGGTCCTACTAAACTCCTGACTGGTATGAAGAGAAGCAGAGAAGTAAAATTGTAAACCGGACTGCACCGATCAATTCCCGCGGGTAATCGAGCTTTATCAATTGTGCCACCGGCGTTTCCATAGGATCGGCTCGAGACGACTATGCGATTGTTGATGTTGAACTGAAATCGGGGACCGGGGATTGTTGTGATTCCGACTTCCCGCCTTCGCTGTAGTGACCTCCTGGATACATCATCCTCCGACAGCTCGCCCGTCTGACCATTAGTCGGATAGCCCACCATGGAAAGCTACTTTCCTCCGGGAGCTCTAGCTAACCACTCGTCCATACGTGCTCCTTCCCCAGCCTCCACTCCGTTATCGCCGCCTACACAACGATCGAATGCCTTGTCAAACCGACTGACAAGTGTACTGTCGGCCTCCTATGCGGACTCCGATATACGCGATGCGCTGGAGACACTCAGTCTTCGGGGTGTACACAACACTGCAGAGACGCGAAGGCAGCTGCGCTTAGATGTGCAAAAAGAAGTGGTGGAATGCAATGCAGAAATCGTGCGGGATTTCGGCAAGGTCGCAGAGGTGAGCCGTTTCGCATCTTGGGCGGCACAAGAGCGACATTTGAGACGGGTAGCTAACATAGTCCAAATTGGTAGCAATTGCAAAGGATCGGGACCGTGATATCAAGCCTGAATCAAACGTGTGAAGAAATGCGGCAGCACATTGTCCGAGCCAAACAGGACACGGCACCAGTCATCGAGGAAGCATCTGCACTGATGAACCAGAAGAAGGAATCGGAGACAAAACAACAACTTCTCGATGCATTTGTGAAGCACTTCGTCGTCTCAGACGATGACCTACTTGTTCTCACATCGGCAGAGGAACCAATTGACGACCGCTTTTTCGATGTTCTGGATCGGGTAAAACAGGTGCACCATGATTGCGAAGTCCTACTGGGAGGGGAGAGCCAAAGGCTGGGCCTGGAATTGATGGAGAAGAGCTCCAGAAATCTGAATTCCGCATACCAGAAACTCTTCAGATGGATACAGAAGGAGTTTAAGTCCTTAAACCTCGAGGACCCGCGAATCAGCAGTTCAATCAGGCGCGCTTTGCGCGTCCTGGCCGAGCGACCGAGCCTATTTCATAGCTGCTTGGACTTCTTCGCCGACGCACGGGATTATGTCCTGTCCGACGCCTTTCATTATGCCCTAACCGACGCCGTCTCCGGCAATGGGGGTGACCGAAACGTGAAACCGATCGAGTTCTCTGCTCATGACCCTTTGCGGTACGTCGGCGATATGCTGGCATGGGTCCACTCTACGACTGTATCCGAGAAAGAGGCTTTGGAAGCTTTGTTCGTGGCAGATGGGGAGGAAATCGCCAAAGGAATCCAGGCTGGCCTGAGCAGCGAACCCTGGTCTCGTATTGATGAGGGAGAAGAGGTCTCCTTTGATGGTCAGAAAGCCCTTAGCGACCTCGTGAATCGTGATCTAGTCGGAGTGTCTCGAGCTTTACGGCAGCGGGTTGAATTGGTGATTCAGGGCCACGATGAGCCTGTCACTTGCTATAGGGTTGTTCACTTGCTTTCATTCTATCGAGCAACATTTTCCCGACTGCTGGGAACGAAATCCAATTTGGCGGACATGATGCAGACACTAGAGAACTTCACATTCGCCCGCTTCGAAAGTATCATGCACGAGCAAGTCAATATACTCTCTAACGATCATTCTGCCTTGACTCCACCGGACGACCTTTCCGCACCCGAGTTCTTCCTTGATGCCTTGGAAGAACTGACCTCCCTCATGAAGACCCATGACGCTTCACTCGGGGCAGAAGATGCGAAAACCGAAAGCACAGCGGATAATAAATTTACCCCCGTCCTCCGTGTCGCGTTTGACCCTTTCCTGGAACTGGCCAAATCTTCAGCGGCCGAGCTCCCCGACGCAACAGCCCGAGCTATCTACACCACCAACGTTCTCCTAACGGCACGTTCAACGATCTCTGCCTTCCCATTCGCAAGTGCAACACATCTGAATCCTATCTCTACAGCACTATCTAGCCTGCGGATGGAAATGCTTGAAATCCAACACCGCTATCTACTCGATACTTCAGGCCTGGGCATCTTGTTGGCTGCCCTCGAGCCTTTCTCGCCATCCTCAACAACTCAAAAACCAGAATCCAAAGAAAAGGATGGCCAGGCACCGCCGCAGGCTGATAAGCAACCCACAGACATCGCCGAGATAGCTGACCATCCCGCCTTCCAGCCAGAAGCCCTCATCGCCGTCAGCCAACAACTTGATGACTTCCTTCCCTCGGCCCTGATGGATGCAACGGATAATTTGAAGCACCTGCAGAGCGCCAGTTTTGTTCAGAGTGTCACGGAAGAAGCGGTCGAGGCTTTCTGCCGCGACTTTGAATTTGTGGAGGGCATGATTATCGGCGCGGACGAAGCTAGAGGTCGAGTCCATATTAAACGGACGGAGGATGGAAGTGACGCTGGTGCTGAGGATGAGGTTGTCTCTGAGAGTGGAAATGGACCTGATGATGACGAACAGGAATCTGGGCTTAGGACGCTCTTCCCTCGTACTACGGGCGAGATCCGGGTGTTACTCAGCTGATCGC